TTCCTGCTGTTGATTCCTAACAATAATTAAAACAATGGGCTGCTAGTTTGGATTTGAATGTACAAGCTCCTTCCACTGTAACTTCACTCGCTGCCTTCAGCTTCTTACCATGAGGTATCTCTAAAAGAGGGCAACTGAACTACAGCAGCTGAACTGTTTCAATGCTCAGTTCCTTTCCTATTTATTTACCTACAGTTGAAACCATGGTTTATGATTCATGTACAAAATGGAAGTGTAAGTTATAAACTCAGAGATTACCATTTTTACACTGTAAAACCATGTATTGTATGTCCCTGACACTCAGTGTAACCTGACTTTAGTCACATCTGTTTCTCTGACATGGGAACCACTGCGTTTGGCTGAAAGTTCGGTGTTAACAAGCTAGTAGGCTTTGGTGAGCAAGGTCAGAGAAAACCGAAGTAGAACAATTAGAAACTTGGCTTTGCTCTTCTGAGAGTGAAACTGGGGGAGTGTCTTCTGTTTTGTTTTTAAGCAAAACTGCCCATCTGTTGATACTGTTAAATAACTGCCCATCATCCTCTCAGCTGGAAGTCCTCTCTCTAGTGAAAAATGGATCTAGAGATCTTTCACTGCAGCATGACAGGCACCTTAAACATTGATATTCAAATGTTTCATGCTACAGAAGGAAAATTTTATTTCGGTTTTGGCCCAACTAAGCTTTCTCCAACTTGCCAAAACATCCATTATTTGTTTCAATACTCTTTGGATGTCACAGGTGTTGCTATGTCCCACCAAAGGGACTAATTCACGTAAGACTGCAGTGAGGCATCAAACATTTCAGCAGTAACAGCAGCTTACACTTATGGTTAGTAAATCAACCAAAAAACAACGGCTGTAAGCCAGCACATGTGAGCAAGAATAAATGGATGCAGCAAACTTATTTACTGCTCGATTAATAAATACTTTTGTGGCAAGTGTCTAGAATGCTCTCATAAGAACAAAGTTTGTTTTCTCCCTTTAAAACTTCACAAACTTGCTTTAAAATTAGAATCTTTAAAAAAACAGGAAAATGTTAAGGTGTTCCTTCACAAATTTACTTTTTGATAAAAATTAAACCGAACATTTCTCCTATTTTTTCAAAAGTCCTTAGCAAATATGAAGTGTTTTAAGATTTGCAAAAGTAAAATATGCTTCATTAAAGACACCTACCAAAGCTCAAGGTAGTTCTGCTTTCCATGTCCCAGCCTTGTCAAGTTTGCATGTTCTTGATTTTATTTAATCTCTGTTTATCAGAATAGAAATTAATTTTAGATCCTCTCCATGCCCAAGATAGTATGGTAAGAAAACATCTAGTATTTGCACCTAGGCAAATTATTTTCATCCTAAGAGTTTCCAGTGCAGTATCTTCCTCTCTGCATTTTGTTACACTTTCATTTAGTTATGCAAATACGCAACTGATGTGTTTACGTAACCCTCTGTTCAAGAGACATGAGGTAGGCTACACTATGGCTGCACTAAGCAAAACAAGATACTATAAAGACACTATAAAGAAAAATGCACTGCCCATGGCACATCACAGAGCATACACTGTGGAGAAGCTAGTTAGCTTGGCCCTTAAATACACAAAGAAACTGTAACAGATCCTGAAAAATGTACATATTTTATTGGGAGCTGGGACAGCGGACAGAAGAGCACTTAGAGATTTTAAGATAACATAAATGCATAATATTTTCCTCTCCCTAACCACCCACTCTGGGAAAACTCCACACACTATCACTTTTGCAAGTCCTTTACTTCTATACACAATAACCCAAGTCTCAAAATTACCAGATGTATCTATTGCTTCCAAAACCTTAAAGGTTCTTCAGCTACTTATTAATCCTGTTAAAATACCTATGGTAGGAAAGGAATAATTTTAATAACAAAGGTACATTCAATATTGAAAAACGTTTGCAATGTACAGTTTTTACAGCAATACACCACTGTAGATCTACAGATTATTTTTTTAATACACTTGGATCTTTACCATCTCATGATCCTCTTTAAATAAATATTTCACAAAAGTGTCTCGCTTCTAACAATGGAAGTAACATCACAGATAAAGAGAATATCAGCCACGTTGCAGAAATGCTACAACAAAGCCCCTTTCACCCGCCAGTCTTGAGACAGCAAATCCTGCAATTCTTCTTCGTCTTCGCTGCCAATCGCCTCATCCTCCCTCTCTTGAGCTGCTCTTAATCTCATGGCTTCCTTTAACTTCTCCTTCATCAGATCCTGGCGGTTACGCAAAAGCTCAACGCGGCGATAACATTCACTGTTGAAAAGTAAACCACCTATTAATACTTGTGGCCTTTCCACATTAATTGGGTTTTCTGCAGTTCTGGATTTTGCTTCTCCAACTTTGGATTAAAAAAAAGCTCCACAGCTTCCCACCAATTAAAAAAAATAAACTTGCAATACCCCAGTGCACCTGCTCTGTATCACTCAAGTGGAAACAGACCAGAAGAGAGATGTGGTCCATTCTCTGGCAATGAGATCTAATCCAAATACTGAACTGACTGCAGTAACCCCACAAATCATTTTAAGAAAAGCACAGAACCAATATCCACACAAGAAGAGATGCCATTCTTTTCTCCACTTATGGTTTTCATATATGGTAGAAAGGTGAGATATCAATGGGCCATCAATTCTGATAACTTAGCGGTGGCATCTCTGAAAATGAAAAAGCAGCACAGGTGTTCAGATCCTTTATCTGCTTCCTGTGTGCCACAACAGAACATTTTAAGTAAACACAATCCACGAGTTTCAGTTTTCTGTTTACTTGAAAAGTTCTGTCCTTGAAATATATTTTATAACAACTTTTCTAGCCATTTTGAAAGGGTCTTTTGTTGAAAATGCCAAGTAGTATCAGCCTGATTTAAATAAATCTTTGCTGCTTTCATTCTCGCTAGGAAGAGTCAACAAGGAAAGATTATTATCTGGATCCTGTTTCCCCTTGCATATCTGCAATATGATTACTTACAGACAGAGCTGAAGATTTGAAGGTTAAGGAAAACATGAGTGTCACTGGAATTAATCTGATTTTGAATTTAATCCCAAATAGCCTGCATTTAAATGCACTCAGAAGACAAACACCAAGAACAGTCCCTAAAAATCTATTTGGAACTTTTATTTTGGGAAAAATAATTATGGTAACAAACCTGAAATTCTCTACAAATTTCTGAATTTGGTTCTATGTACTATACCATCCTAAGCTACTGCCAAAAATGAACATTCAGAGACAGCCAGGTTTATCTCAAGCCCTCTCCAAAATTACATGAACTGTTAAAAGGACATTCATGTACTACCAAAGCTCAGTTTGAACCCAACACTACTGTCATTATATGCTCAGTATCTGTAGCACGTAAATCTGGCCAGGTGGCTTAAAGTGTTGCTTTAATTTTTAGTGTCTTCTTTTTGTTGCAAGGTTCATTAAAATCAGAAATCATCTTTTTCTTTTCAATCCATAGCATTGCCATAATCACTGTTAATCAACGTGTTAAGCTATGATAACAGTAGCTATCTGCTTCACTAAACTGTCAGGTTACTTAAGAGTTTAAACTAATCCTTATCCAACCACTACACCTATTCAACAAAACCTTTAAGTAAATGTCTATTAGAAAAAAGAAGAGTTAACCACAGAACAGGGCATTTTCAGTGGAGCAAACAAAAATCTCATGACTGAAATGTTAACTGCAGTGCAGAATATCAGACTTTTTTTTTTCCCCAAAAATGTTCACAGAAACTCTACATAAATCAGAATTCACAGAGAAATACACATTAAGATATTTAACAGAGGGGACAGTTTGTTCAAAGAATTTGCCTTCTACTGCTTTATTTTGCCGATGCCCACCTGTTGTATTTTCAGTGATTCCAGCACATTCTCTTTGCAATTAATTACGTAACTTTGCACCAAAATTAATGTTTTTATTAGGTATCACTCTGCAATTTGAAGGAGTCTTTCTCCTTCAGATACTTAGGTGATAAATGAAAGGCAACATTAAAATTAAAAATGTTTTTATCACTCTAGTCAAATAGCGATCCATTACTGCTGGAGAACAGAAAGTTTGAGGAAAAATTGATCTACTTACATCTGCTCGTCTATTTCTCCAATCTGACGATCTAGTCGTCCCTCCTCATCCTCTTCTGCCACTATTGCTTCTGAAATCTAAACCAGAAAAGCTCTAAGAAAATCCACCTTCATCCCGAATTCCACTGTTGTTCCTTTTTGATGTCCTTTTGTCTTCCCTTCCTCCCTTCTACCTCAAGTCAATGTCAATCTCCTATACGTATACTCCCACCTTCACAAAAGACTCTGGAGGCTAATACAGAAAAAAATCTGATCTGGTTTAATTTGAAATGGAAGTATTTTTTTTTCTTAAAATTAAAAGTTAAAAGTAGTTTGGCTGCTTTGGGGTTAACCTTTCAAAATTTTCAATACGCTACTATTTGAAACCGAACATGAACAAACTACACGCATCCAAAGTCTGAGGCTGAAATAGGAGCTTTATCCCAATGCTTGGGACTCAATGACACAAGCTTATTGAAAGTATTGGTTAAATATTCCCACTAGATCCCGAAGTGTTTCTAACCTGTTATTTTTTTCAGCATATACTTTCTCAAATCTGAATGTCTGGGAGATGCTATGCAGTCAATGGTCCACGCATAACTGAGAAGATTCCTTCTAAACTGAAGAATTATCTGAATGGCTAATGCTAGCAAAATGTATCCACCACTGCTTTTGTATGAACATTCGCTCTGTTTATAGTGCTGACCGCTTTTAAATGAGCAATGATTTTTTTTTTGCACCACTTTTCAAAGCAGTTGACAGATGAGCAATTATTTACAATTAAAATTTAAAAACTAGCAAATACTTCAGGGAAGGACTGAGAACACCAGGTATTTTTAATGAGTTTTATACTGTACAAAAGGGCAGATAAAAACCTGTTCTGGGAAGACTTTCCAATGCTAAACAGTAAAAAATGTGGCCAGTAAAAAACACAGAAAAATTGAGGCCAACTTATGTCTCTCACACACAGAATCTTTTGTCACTTTCCCAAATTTTGGGGTTCCTTTCCAGTACATTTAAATTAACCATAAAACTCACGTTACCTACACTTTATAGATTGTTTTTGAAAAAGACAGAAAAATGGGTGGTGTTTTGTTCTAGTTTTTTTTGAGGTTAAAATACAAATACATCTCAACTAAAGAGAAGCCCACAATTATTTCCTGTTTGGATCCTGATCAAAAGATTTTTCAACTTAATTTCCTTTAAGTGGAAAACAGAAGGAACCTTTGCTCATTTACAAAGTGCATTTAACCACACACTGCATTGCAACAAACAACTGACAAATGCAGATGTCAGTCATTCTGCAGAGCTGCATGAAACTGTTGTTTTCCTTATTGTGTATAGTATTTAGAATCAATAAAAATAGATTCCATTACTTACTGTGTTGACCTGTCGCATTGCCTTCTGAAACTCATCCCATTCTTTGTCCATCTGATCCTTTGGAGCATCAACCTTTCGCACCTAAGGAACATGAAAAAACAGGCGTATTTCAATTTATGTCTAGTGACTCTTTGGAGGCACTGTAAAACACCTGGAGACACAGGGCAAATTATGCTGTGTTCTCAGAAAAGTCTGGTTGACATACTTCAGTTTAAGTAATGTATACGAATAACAAAGTGCAGCTGCACAATGTCTTTGGGGGAAAAATCTGACTTCACTTCTGGATTAAAATAACATCCTTGACTGTAGCATTAAAGAATAACTGATTAAGAATGGAAGGTGTAGAATGTCTGGATTTAAAAAGTGACTAAATCTGTTCATTTGATGGTCTGTAATTTCACTCTGTCAGGTAATAATCTTTAAATTCTTATGTAAGATGCCTGTTCAATTGTATATAGTAGCCCTCTTACAAGCCAAAAAGCAGTCAAATTATTTGCCTTTGGCATAACATATCAAATGATTCAGTCACTAGTCTGAGTGGTGTTAGGTAGTCTGACTATTTCAAGTCTAGTCTGATTTTGTTGGCTAACAGAAGAAACAGTACAGCTACACACCAGGTTTAATAACATGCAAAGGTTTTTCTTCTGTGGTAGACAGCATTAATTACTAAGACTGCAAAAGTAGGAGCTGTAAGAATGCATTTAAGATCTACAACTAAGGTAAACAAAACCAGACTGTGCTTTCAGTACAAGCAAATAAACAAGATAATCTACCTGTGCAACCAAAATTTCCACAGCTCAAGACTGGAAGATGTGGCATATAATGTAAGTTAGATGACAGATTATGCCTTGCTCTGGACCGGCTGGAAATTCTATAGCTAGGAGAACTACGCAGTTTGAGCAGAATAATTCATTACACCATCTTTTGGCAGTAGTTTTGTTTTTCCTTTACTCATTCCTCTCTTTTGGTAACACATCAGTCACCATCATGGTAAAGACAACAGTTTGATACGTTTTGTTCCTGAACGATTATATAAACTCCAGTAGTATGAATTAAGTTTCTAGAACAAATTAGAAGCTTCCAAGCAAACTACGTACTGGGAAGTAATAGTCATCATTTCATCTTTCTGTTCTGTGATTATTTCTATCATAAGTGTATGTACTGTGTTATTACGCATTGTGGTTGTCTTCTGTAATTCATAATTATTTGTATTTCTTACAATAAATTTAAACACTAAAGATATTAGTTTTCCTTGAAATATTTATCTAGTCCAGAATTTATATGCTTTATAAATTCCTGATGTAGAGAACAAACATTTTTCAAGCCCACAACATCCACTACTTCCAAAAAAGCTCAGTTACTTCTGAAAATAGTAATTTTGTGCGTGGTTCCAACACAGAATCACTGCAGCCATCGCAATATAGCAATGTCATAAAACATTTTCCTTCCCCTGCACATTAGCTAAACTTAGAGAGGCTGATTAAAAAGAAGAGCACCTGCAAGCAATTGGAGGAGGAGCGTATTGGAACATGTACCCACTTGTAAATTTTATCGGCTGAGGCGATGACCAGAACCAAGATGGCTAACCAGGGTCCTCACACATAAGCAGATTATTCTTTGCCTGCTAGGCATTCCCGCTTTGTACAAGCATCCCAACTCATGGTGAAACCAAGCATTTGAAAAGTGTTACATACCAGTTAGTCATAGGCAAAAAAAAGTATCTTTTTCAGCTACATACTTCAGTATTCAGAATGTCATTATTCAAACACAAACCAACTGAAGTACACCAGCAGCCTTCCACTGTGAGGAAAACAGGGAAATGTACTCAAGGAAAATAAAAAAAAAAGTCTTGGAGCCTACAACACTATTATTTCCATAAAGAAAGCAGGAAAGTAATCAAACCTGTGGTAAATTTTACCAAAAAACCAACCAACCAACCAACCAGCTTTGTACTTCAAATATCAGTGTTTATTTTGGCCATTATTTGTGATGTGAAGTATGAAGTATGAATGGTTTTGATCAAAATTCCAAGATTTTCAGTTGTGATTTTTTTGAGAAACACATGGAATGTGCACCTTTCTTTTCCAAGCATCAAAAAAACCCATAGCAGTAAAAGGCAAGAGGGCTGAAAACCAGGATCACTGATGTAAGATGCCAGTACTAAAGACCACAGAGCATGCCGTAATCTACCTATCTTCATTCTATCAGGATGCATAGTGCAGTACAGAGTAGCTGTAAACACTTTTCAACAGATCTCTCGAAGGATGCCAGAGAACTATTTTTGTATCCTTGATTCAGAGGCAGAATTGGATGCACAAATTCAGTGAAACGCCTTTCCCAGGGTGACTCAAAGAAATAAAAGAAACAGGTGGATTGTCCAAATCTCAGTCCAGCAATTTAGCCAACAAATAACACTTCTTTAGTTTTCTTTAAGAGCTATAAAGGAACCACAATCAAAAATAGAGTCTGAGAGATGATTTAACAAGCTCTTCCTGCCCCCGCCTCTGTTCCTTTTCATGTCTTCTAATTGATACTAATCAAACTAGTTCAGTTATTTTCTCCCATTCTGGTATGACTAATAACCTAGAAAAGCCAGGTAATTACCAGAACTTACCAGAATTACCAGAAAATCATTACAACTGGCAGAAATAAATCCAGCAGCATAAAATGAGATCACTTACTTTTGCATCCACTTCAGGATCATCAAAGAAACCTTCTGGCAAAGCTTCAGCAGTGTTTTCTTTCCTGAAATGTTTGATTAATATTATTCCAAGTTAACACTTCACAACCTGCGTTATTGTAGAGTTAAAAATAGTCAAGAATAAAATCCGTACTATTTTATAAAAGGGCCTGGAAATGAAGTAAGCTTTTTCTGCAGCCCTAGTTCTTCCTACAACCATCAATACCTGCTTCCTCAGTTTGGCCTCATGTAACTTACAAGGAATGGCACAGACAGATGAGGTGAACACCCAAACATTTTAACAGCACAGCCTCTACTTCTGAAAGCCTAAACCACTGTCCCAAGTGAGCTGAACCATTACTATAGAATAAACAAATGGTTTTCTTTAAACAGTTAAAAGCAGTGGTTGACATTAAGCTTCAGGTGTATCCTGTGTTTAAAATTGCAAATAGAGATGTCTAACAGGCACTGTATGGCATTGCTCCATCTCCTATCCTGCTCCCAGGGTGTGAAATATCTGTCTGAAGTAATGCTAGATGCTGATGCACACACAAACTATTCTGAATACAAGTTAACAACATGACAGATTTCTAAGTGACCACAGTTTGTATTTCCTGGAAGGGTAACGTTCATTTACAGTTCCCAAATCTATCGATATTTGAATTGACTGCTTACCTTTCCACTGTCTTCTCTTGTATCTCTGCTTTCTGTATGGATCCTGAATGGGAAACTATAGGAGCAGCTGTAGTTTTGCTGTCAAAGAAGTCTATTAAGAAAGGAAAGAAGCCTATGTACAAAAGGAACTGTTCCAGCTTCTTTATAGAAGTCTGACCAGACAGGAATTTCAATTAATACCTTACTGAATCAAGGCAAGAACAGCCAGACATTGTTTCAATTGACAGCCTCAAAGAATTAGAACATAAAATCAATAAGCATGCTGAGAAAACACCACACAGTAACAAACTAGCACAGAATCTCTCTTCTCTGCTTTCAGTATTACACACCTTAACCAGCTAATAGCTATAATTAGAAAAATAAATTAAAACCCTTCCATCGTAAGTTAAAACACACCTTCTCCTTACTAAATCATCTCCTATTTCAGTCATCATTACCTGCAGGTAGAGAATTAGGTATTACTTCTTGAGTTGGAGGTGGAATTTCAATTTTGTGCGTAACAAAAGATGTGTTTGATTGGTCTTGGTCCTCTTCTTCTTCATCATCATCATCATCGTCATAATTTACTGACAATAAACTGGGACCTGGAGCCTTTGAAAGCTGTTCCTTCGCGCTATCTTTCTTTGCTTCATCAAAAAAATCTGCTGGCAGCCTAATAAAGAACATGCCACATGTATGTTTCACACTTCACAAAATTAGTTACAGTTTAGCATCTGAAGCCTATTTGATCTGTGAGCAATACAATCTCTCAGATATTGTGCAGTACCCTGAACTGCACAGTTACCGATGTAACCGCTGTCTGAAAGCAACACACAGACATTGCTTCTGTTTGAAGTTCCCCAGAAACGCTCAGGTTAATTCTGAAAACACATTTCAAAAAACGCACAAAGTGCATTTAGAGGAAAGGCAGCTTAAGCAATTCAATTTCCGCATTCAAAGTT